ATATATATATATATATATATATATAAGTGTGTATGTATATGTGTGGTAAGCAGAGTATCTTCCATTTTGTCCGCTGGTGAGAACTCAAATCGTTATCATCGGCATGTGTGTATTCGCATGGAAACGCATGAGTCCAAGTTCGTGGTGTGCGTGGGCGCGCGTGCGTGTGCGATCCTGATGGCACATGGTGCGAAATATAACTTTCGCCTAGATTTTCCGAGACTCCGTTTATCTCTTTTTTTTTCTTCTTCGTTCACCTACTAATCTTAGCGTACTGAGGAAACATGCTCTTATTTCTATACGGTAATAATGACGGAACACAAGTCTTATAAACAAATGTGGATGGTAAAAATTGCGATGAAGCCGAGTACACAATAGCGGAAAGATACGAACGGTGTGTGCGACATGGTAAATTCTTCTCGCCGATACGCAACACAAGTGTAATAATAATACCCGATATTATCGATAGATTTTCCATTCGATAAAATGCTTGATTTCACAAATGACGACTTGCACGTGTGTCGAGTTGTCAGCGCAGTACGATATAATTCGGTTTCGTCTGATATATATATATATATATATATATATGTATATATATAGGTATATATACATATATATGCATATGATTGTGCAACTGAATTTACGAGAACGTTCAATGAGACACGTTTACTTTCTAAATTTCGGCAAACAAAATTTATAATGCGTTTATATCAAATTATTATAATATATTGTATAAATTTTGATCAAATACGAACAATTCCCATTTTACTAATAAAAACACTCGATTTTTTAGTATGTAGATTATAATATTAAAATTTAACGTTATTTAATTGCAATACGAAGATATTCTCTTTCTCTCAAGCTTGCGGACAAATTATAATTTAATTTATTGTGATAAAAAGCCATATTATTGCGTGTTAATATATTCGAATTATTTCTTACTGCAGCTGTCCGTTAGATGCACTGACTTAATACTAAAGATCGCGATGTACAATTTCGCATTTGAAATCTCAATGCAATAGCTATCCATAATCATTGTATTGCTGGAAATCGAGATGAGACAATGTCCATTATGTCGGAATGGTTTAATGTAAGAACGTACATCATGAAATCCATAAATGCATTCTCCTGCGTAAATCTTTAATCAATAAATCTTTTTTTTTTACGTACACGAAAATTTCGGGTTATATGTACTTATACGTACTTATTTTTTCTTGTTAGAGCGCAATGTACGAGAACAGAACGACCTTTGTGTCTGTTTTTTGTTTCTAATATAAAGACAGTTAAAAATTTCATGAAAATAATCTTTTGTAACAAAATATTAACATCCTGTATAAGCAAATAGGTAGTTATTGATGAAGTTCCATTTGTGATAATTGACATATGTTTTATATTTGGGACTTCACATTAAACCATTCGAGATAGTGAATTATTTCTTGACGAACGAGGCAGGATACAATTATAAAAGTTCACACTGGCAGTGTGTCAGCAATTTGTCAAATTGCGTATAGCACCAATCGTCATTTGAAATGTGAGATACGAACTTATATATACAAAGAAGGGGAAGACACAGTTGGGTGAATGAACAGGTCCTATCGGTTTGCTCAATATTGATACCGCTTGAGATGTTGATGAGCCTTAATTTATAAAAATTACGGTCGCATTTACGCAGCAGGTTAAAACAAATACATGTAGCATCGACATTATCACAAGTAAACAGTGCAATATCTCAAAAATGCATAAATAAATCAGAAACATTCTAAAACAATCAAATATTACAAATTGTTGAATATACAAAGGAGTGATATACTTTTATACAAGAATAAATATAAAAAATAAATATAAAAAATAGAGTAAAATGTAATCATAACTTTATATATGTGTGTGTGCAAGTGCCAATGTTGCCAATTTCATTCTAAAATCAGATTTCTTCTTCAATCTATCAACACAGCTACATGTGTTTCTTCAACCTGTGTAATTTCATAATTGTTCACACTAACACAAATCACATGCTTATGCCTACACGTTTTTTTTTCTATATTGCAGCATCAGCTCTCGCAAACATTTGCATTCGAACGAAAATGTTAATTGTGCCTGAATCATCGAACAGTTTAGAAAAGATTGCTTTGAGTTTTGCTGTAGGGCTTATCTTTGCATTTCAAGTATCTATGCGTAAATATTAACGACATCTCTGCTACAACGAATATTACGTATTACATGAATGTTAACATATTGCGTTAACGCTTAATTTGAGTTACATCACGCATACGTCTGAAGCTTGAAGTTCAAGGAGAATACGTAGATCCCGTATCCTATACTTTGGTACAGCCAGTAGTTTAACTACCACCTGTGTCATACTCTTTACTCTCCTTATTCATGTATAAAACTCTCATGTATAATAGTATCATATACAAGACATGTTTCAACACCTGCTGTTTAACAGTAAGAAAAAAAAAACTGAGCGCACAAAAAATTAAGACACAACTCCTCCCCATCTGTTGGAATATTTCCTTATTTATCTTGTCGTCACAAGTCACTCATGGAAAATGAAAGTATTTCTTGACTTTGCTACTCGGATTATTAAGCAGTATCGACTGTACAATATGAACTATCGTGAAAATGCGGTCAAAAAACAAATGCAATGGATGAGAACTGAAATTTCAAAACGGAATAATTCGGGGATCAAACCGGATCAACCGGATTCTACCGGAACGCGACTGAAAATTGGCCGAATAGCCAGAATTTAGGTATGGGGTTTCAACTGGCTGAAAAATAATGGGCAAACAATATGCTCACCCTCTCTATTTCATAGTCATCGGCTAAGAGGGCCTCTTCCTCATCATTGCCCAAATCGTATTCCTCATCCCCCTCGAGATCTTCGTCCAGTAAAGTATCATCCCTGAAAAAGATAAACGACAAGATTCTTATGTGCCCGTTAACAAAGCCCGCCTTCCTTTCCGAGAGAGACACACACAGACGACGCTGCTGCGGACAGAGAGACGCTCTCGCCCTCGTAAAACCTACGTCATTGCCAGGTGCAGCTTTCCGCGTTTCTAACCTGTGCGTATTTTGTGCGAAAGCGCGATCGCGATGAGTCCCGAAACGAGCGACATGCCGGGTTAATCTCAGCGAGAAGCCGCGCGAAGGAAAATCCGAGGTCGTGCCTTCTCACGGTATCAAAAAATCGAAATACTTACTGTTCTGACATTATACGTTGTCGCGCTCAGAGCCAGAAGAGAGTCTCTGTGATGGCTCCTGCGCGATGGAAGGTTTATCGAAAACGCGCACACTCGACGTCGATCGATCGGTCGAACGCACGTCTTCGATTTTTCGAATGCTCGCAATTGCCGTAAGAGAAATTAAAAGATCGTTGAAAGATGAATTAAGCATTATTTATTTATTTATTTTCCTCTACAAGAATATTCCTTTCAAATTACTGTATAGTGTTTAACAACCGACCTACAAATTTGTCAAATAACTGGTGACTCATTAGTCAAGTGTTAGCCGCACGTGTTACGTTGAGTCATGGATGTAGGTATACTTATATTCCTACATCCATGTGTTGAGCATATTGTCGACACATGTCGAGTGAGTGACGCAATTATTATTTTGTGTGACAATTAGTTGTTAAGTGTCAAGTATATACAAAATTATCGAGAAAGAACCTACTACTGTACTTTAAACTAATGGAAATGTGCGCGCAATCAGTGTAATCCGAAATGCGTGTTTGCTTATAACCTGTTCGTGTTGCGTTTATAACCTGTAGAGTCACGTAAAATTGCGCGTCTCTCGACACAATGGTCAGATGTACGTATTTGTTGTCTCATAAAGCTTCGTTAAAGCTTCGTCAAGCGAGATGTCTGGATTTTCTACGCGCACGTAGCCAAATAGTAAATACGTTGCGAAGATACACGGACGACAGGCCGGCTATTATTTTGGGGATCGAGACGAGCTGCGACGATACAGGATGCGGAATTGTAGACACCACGGGAAAAGTATTGGGCGAGGCGATAAACTCGCAGAATTCCATTCACCTAAAGTAATGTAATTCTTGTAATCGTATCTTTCAGCCCTACTTTGAAAACCGACTATGGGTTCTCAGTTACATTAGTTAACATTGAGTAAAACACTAGAGGTAGCTTTTTGTGTAGTAAGGCTTCCATTGTTTATTAGATAAAGTACACATCTGTTTCCCGTCAAAAAGATTCACAGAACATGATATATCTTCGCTTTGAAGTCAACGGCTTGTATAATTTGAAAAATTACTGGTGGTTTCATTTATGTGATATAGTCATATTTTATTTTCTAGATGCGGCGGTATAATACCTACAATAGCCAATGAAATTCACAGACAGAATATTACCACAGTCTGTGAGAATGCATTGAGAGCAGCTGGCCTAAGATTAAGGGATATAGATGCTATCGCAACCACGACCAAGCCAGGCCTTCTCAATTCGCTTCACGTCGGAAATACCTTTGGCAAATATCTCTCTAGGGTGGGTAACAAACCATACATACCGATACATCACATGGAAGCTCACGCATTAACTGTAAGGATGGTGCAGAAGGTATGTTAAAATTGATATCTTACATACGATGTATACATACTTATTACACATTTATAATACGCAAATCATTCGTACATATTTTGCAGGTAGACTTTCCCTTTCTTGTTTTATTAATATCAGGTGGTCACAGTTTACTGGCAATCGCTGACAGTGTTGATAAGTTTTATCTGCTGGGTACTACAACGGACAATGCACCTGGTGAAGTTCTCGATAAGGTACATTTGCGAACCTTATTGTGTGTAATTTATGACGTAATTAAAAGGACTATCCAATTCAACGAGGATTCTACCCTCAATATTTTATTTATTTTGTGGAAGATCTCATACGAAAGATAGTTGTTTAGAATTTACACATATCATCGTGATTACAGATTGCACGGAGACTTAAGCTCGTTAATATACCAGAGTTCTCGCATATGTGTGGCGGCCAAGCGATAGAGAGTGCAGCGAGCAAAGCAACGGATCCGAAGAAATTTGAGCTCCCATCTTTCATGGCGCGAAGGAGAAATTGTCAGTTCAGTTTTGCGGGTATGTGGAGTACTGTTAATCAATACATCGCCAACCAAGAGAAGGAGCTGCAGATTGACGCAAATAAGGTGATCCCTGATGCGTACAATCTCTGCGCTTCGCTACAGTGGTCTATGGCGAAGCAAATATGCTCCAGGACGCAAAGGGCGATGGCGTTCATCGATAAGAAGAATCTGATACCACAGGAGAAGCGAACTTTGGTGATATCCGGCGGAGTGGCGTGTAACGATTTCTTTGCGAAAGCCCTGGAAATTGTCTGCTCGGAAATGGACTTCCGATTCGTGCGAACGCCACGCCGGTTGTGCAACGATAACGGCGTGATGATAGCGTGGAACGGCGCGGAGCGGTGGAGAACGAATGCGGGTGTCATTCGAGACAGGAGTGAAATTGAGGCGGTAACTATCGAGAAGAAAGTACCGCTCGGAGAAAATTGGACAGAAAAAGTAGAATTCGCGAACGTAAAATGTACGATGGTAAAATTAAACGCTCTGATGACACATTAATTTCTCCTCGATTTTAATTGTTCACTCACGAACCCGCGCGCACTTTTCCGCAAAATTGCTCATTATTAAGCAGACTCATCAGGGAGATGGGGATAAGCGATACAACGAATTTGGTTAAAAATAAACGAGACTTGCGGTATGTCACATGAACTTTTCTATTGTGCAAATTTATACAACAATCGGCGAGTGTTGCTCACTCTGCCGCTTTATTCTTTCCAGCAAGACCAGGTCCGGGCAATGGTCACGCTCGGCCATTTGTTTGCGTTCCTCGTACTTGTCCAACATCGTTCTTATCTCTGCCTTGATCATCTTTATCTCTTGTTCCTCCTTCAAAAGGAGAGACACGGGCAGAATATTTTCGAAATGTACCACTTTCTCAGGCTGTATTTCTTCCGGACATGTATGTACATAGTCGGTTAAATTCTTCAGCATCGGTTCAATTTCATTATAGATATTATCGGCATTTTTAGTGTCCATCTTATTGACTAAAAGTAAGGCTGGCATTTCCAATAAATCTGGCTTGTAGAGCTCGATTTCCTTATTTAATAAGACCACAGTTTCCAAGCAGGATCTGCTCATGTGCCTGGGCGATAATTGGAATCCTTGTATGTCTACGATGAACAGAAGCAGCTTTGTTCTTTCGATATGCTTCAAAAACTTGTGTCCCATCCCGATATTCATGTGCGCACCTTCAATCAGACCTGGTAAGTCGGCAACACTGACACGCCTGTAATCTTTATAGTTTATGAGTCCCAATTTCGGCCTTATGGTAGTAACTGTAATAGAAAAACAATTGCTATTAAAAACTTCCATTAGAGTGTGCATTTCTTCAGAATTATATGATAAAGTTAAATTAATTATCTTACAGGGGTAACTAGCAATTTTAGGCTTGGCCTTTGAAAGTGCTGCCAAAAATGTACTCTTGCCAGCGTTGGGGAAACCAACCAGTCCAATATCAGCGATTAGTTTCATATCTAACTTGATTATGTGACTCTCTCCTTTTATACCACAGAAACCTGTCTCTTCGCATCCACCTTTGCCACCTCTGGCTACCAATAGTTTCATGTCTTCCTGGTTCAACTCTCCTAAAAAGAAAAAGAATTTAAGAGAAAACGAATAAGTGTAAAATATATAAATATATGCGTGAAACAGTTGTGTTTAGCAGAAAAAATTTTATGAGAAATTAACAGTTGATAGATCTGATTGTTGCACAGTTTTGGATCTAGCAAAGATCTGAGAATAATGCAAATCTTCAAATTGTTGACTGCTTGTTAAATACTTTGTTTTGCTAAACACAACTTAAGCGACTTAATTATAATGCTTGGAAAAGTATACTTACCTAATAATACTCCATTCTCGTTATACAGGGTAATACCGCACGGGACTTGAATATTTATATCAGTACCAGCTAAACCAATAATTCCTCTAGCTGTACTGTTACTTCCAGGTTCAGCTTTGACTCGTTTGATCTTTAATCTCTTGAGGAGTTTCTCCAAAGTCTCTCCATTCTTTGCAACCATGTATATGTTACCTCCCGCACCTCCTATCCCGCCGAAACGAGGCAGACCGGCACCTCCTGCTCCTGCTTGGACATGAATACGCATTGTGTCGATGAATGTACCGCGTAAGTACTTTCTAGGAAGCTACAATTGAAGAAGAAATTTCTTGTATTCACAATTGTATTTCGAAAATACCATGAATGTTCTATAAAAATCGATTTGATAGTTCTACTCACCCTTTTAACACCTTTGCAGAAGTTCAAGACCCGTGTTAGAAATACCATTTTGCACAGTGTTGTATAGTGTTGTTGAAGCACGAAACACGTGATCACGAATATTCCTTTATGACTTTATACTCAATCTGTTCGATTCACTTGTCTATAAATCAACATAATTATCATCCTATAACAGGTTAAATATATAATCGTCAAGTTTACGGAGGAACATGCCACTGATCGCACTGAATGTGCTCACCAAAGTTTAGCATCGATTAATATTAAGAGAGAATCAAGATTTATCGAAAGAGTTCCTGAGTTCACCGATAGATGACGCCTACAGCCTTCGTTTCCGTTATTACTTGTCGTCGCGCGCAAACATGGCGGAATGGAAGAGGAATGAGTTACGTTACGACTGCGACCAATTAGGTATATATTATTATTATTGTAAATTATTCATATATTGTATCAAAAAAATTGCACGAAGAGATGTTTTTCAAGTAAATTTTCAAAAATTTACCAAATCCACGCAATGTTCACGATAAAAGGCACTGTATAGTACGGCGACAAAATAGAATTTCGCGTATCATTTGTTATTACGATGCCAACAACTTATTTCGTAAGCTGTTTGTTTATTTCAATCTGTGCGCACAAAGTAGCACCGCTCGTTATACAGGGTGCGTCAGTTTTTATAAACTCGATTTGGACGATATTGTCGATCAACTTGGACTCGGCCTCTGACTAATGTGGAATTTCCAAAGTTTTTTGCAAACTAAATGTCGAATGTTATTGTTAGTAACAAGATTTCATTATTCACTCATGTTTATACGCCCATACAGCACAAATGTTCAAAAGACACCCTAGAGACGTCCCAGATGATATTTGATATCTCCGGGACGTCTTTAGGATACTTTTCGAACGGGTATTAGTTTTATTTTTCCAAGATATTATATAATTCGAGCCTCTGTTATATCTCATCACTTGATTCTCCATTTTAAATTCTCCGTCTTAGAAAACTTAAAATTGGAAGAGTTCTGTCTGAAAAAAGTGATATACGAGGTTGTCCGAATAGATCGTCAGTCAAAATTGAGGTCGTGAATTCTGGTACACATATCTACAGTTAGTATACCTACAGTTAGAGTCTGCATATGTGTATGTGCGTAACCAGTCTAAGATTAAGCCGATTAAGAGATAACTGATACGTAGCTTTTTAGGACACTTTATACATTAACTAGATATAGCTTATTATTTAGATATCTATAGCGCGAAAGCGTCGAAACGATACTGAAGCAAGCCGCGTGATGCTGAAATAGACGTAGAAAACCCGCTCACATGTCGCGACGTGAAATATTTCACTGACGTAATTATGACACATCTACAAATCACGTTATTTTTATTAAATCACGTCTATGCCGAAATGAAGAGCAACACGCGATCGTATTTAGAGACGCATTACAATATATTATATATTATAGAAATAGAGGAAAGAAATAATAACAAAAACAGAACAGGGGAAAAATAAAAGCTCACTCCTGACGGCATCTTCTAACAAAATACGTGTAAAAATCCACTTTTCTTTTTACAACGGGCGATTCTTACGACTGCAACATTAACTAAGCTTTAAACCGTTCCCACCGTCCTCCTGCATCTTCCCCCTGAAAAGAAACGGGACTCAGAAACTGAGGAGAAATCAGATTAATCTGTGATCAGCGCATTAATTAACTGCTACTTACGAAGCCGACTTTCAGTGTAATTAAGCTCCGCGTTACCGCGCCACCTGCATCCGAGACACATCTCTAACCAGCTCATCTCTCTCTCACTCTCTCTTTCAGGGACACACGAGGTGAGCACGTATCCGAGCCACCGGTTTCCAGGCACTTTTCCAGGAGCAAGTCGGCCGGACATGTTGCGGCCGCGAAACGTATCCTGGGGTCAAGTGAAATCAATTGCGGAGCGGAGTTTCACGGTGATCAATCGGCGTACAGGACGGAGAAGCGGGATGGCGGCCTTCTCGTCGGCGCGACGGAACTCGGAGGCTCGTCTAAACGAAGGCGAGTACGATGCGTTAAAATTAAATCTAGCCAGAGGCCGTGTGTCGACGACTACGTTTTGCCGACGACGACGACGACGACGACGGCGGCGGCGGTAGCAGCGTCGCGTCCTCTGGCTTAGTCTCAAGAACACACTTCGGCTGCACGGATGCTCTCCGATCGCCGATCGATCTAGCATCTCCCGCCGCGGCTCTTTCTCTCCGTCCACCTTATCGCTTTCTCTTTCCCTTCTCGTCTGGTCGTCGCGGGGTTGTCGCGGGTTGACATCCTCTCTCTCTCTCTCTCTCTCTCCGTCGCGGACACACACCGTCGGAAGTCCCATCGGTCGCTGAGAATCCTTCGCGTTAACGCTGGACTCGCGCGAACCGAAAGCACCTGACTTATCTTCGCCCGAGGTCTTCGTCGAGGTAATAACTCTTCGGCATGTTCATAGCCTCGCGTCTGCGATCCTTTCGCATCTGAGGATTCGAGGATTTGTCATTCACGATGCTGCGCTTTGTTCTGTCTCCCGTACGACATCATCTTCCACGATGGCCGATGGTCGTGGAGCCTTCTCTTGCTCGTTACTTAATACATTTCTTCCTATCGCGATTATCAACTCATATCGCGAGAATATCGAGCCACGTGGGTGATGCGGATTCCCTGTCTGGGAATGACGCGTCAAGGAACAAGGATCAAATTGTACGGTAAACACTATCATCACGCTCATTGCTCGCTCGAGAGGGAGTGCTTGATACGTGATCAACCGAAAAGCGCATTTATTGCTGTCAATTTCGCCGACACTTTCTCGGCCAGATCGCGATTTATAAGATCTACGGCGCGACCCCGTTCGCGTACAGTGTGAGTTTATCCAGTTGGCGTTACGGAAGACGCGTCTGTGCGTTTTACTTTTTTTTATAGACTCTACGTATAGGCGACGGTGATTCGCCTCGACGTTAATTCGCGAAATCCATTTCGCGATTCGCCGAGCTTTTTCGTCGCCTGGCTCCTCGTTCCTGAATGATCGTAGGGCGATGAGAGAACACGCGGGTGCGAGGAGTGTGTCATCGGGTTACTAGCCTTGATCACCGGCCAAATACTTGACGGGGAAAGCGTACCGTGGTCGTGCTAATTTTACGTACGCCACATAATACGACGCAGAAAAGTATAAGAATCGATAGTAACGGCGGGCAATGCCGAGCAAACCTCGTGACAATGTGGTCACCGGCTTACTTTGTTACCCCGCGTATACATATAAGTCGACATACGTGTACATATATATGAACACGTGACACCTCGATGCGGTATTGCACATTCAGTCGGATGTTTCGTCTCGCCTCGAGTGGTAACATTCAAAAAAAGAATCGGTGAGAGAAGAGGAGAGGTAAAGAGAGAGAGAGAGAGAGAGAGAGAAAGAAAGATACATGCGACTTCGCGATCCGTGTGACCTTTGTTTCTAATCGCAAACTCCCCGGACAGATGGACCGGGAGGACGAGGACTTTGGCGAGGGCTACATCGCGGAGTCGCACCCGTTGAGGCCGACGCTCTCGGTGCCGCTCGGCGGACGTTCGGGTTCGCGCGCCCCCAGCATCAGCAGCAGCGTCAGCGATCTCGATGTGCCGATATACACCAGAGAGACGACCTTGCCGGTGTCGACGAAGAAGGTGAGTCCTTGTCGCGATACGTTCATTGAACGAAGAGAGGCGAGCGAGCGAAAGAAAGAGAGAGAGCTTCGCTTTGCTTCGCGCGAGTATGAATGCGCGCCTCTCGCGCAATTAAATGTAACACGAGTCGAACGGTCCGCATGAGAAAAAGAGAGAGAGAGAGAGAGAGAGATAATTCAAAGTCCACGAGAAGAAAATCCACGTGACGGAGTAGTACACTGATCTACTTTACTCGGTCTTCGTTTGTTCCCCGCATGGTCGTAATTAAATCGCTCGTTCTTCCAGAAACGCCGGTTAATGAATTTAACATGATCTTTATTCATCAGCAGCGGCAACATGTCGTGAAATGATGTTTACGCGCCGCCTCATTTCTATCTTGCGACCATTCCGACCGATTCCCGTTAAAAAGAAGAAAACGTATCCGCTATGTCAAGAGAGAGAGAGAGAGAGAGAGAGAGAGAGACGCATCGCAGTAGGCGCGATGTTTTTACCGTCGTGATCGATACGTGCACGTTAACTTATCTGGGCCGTGCCGCCATTTCGCGAATGGGAATGTCTATATTGAAAAACGTGCGTTAGGGAAAACACTATTTTTAGGACGGTGTCGAAATCGCGGTTATTCGAGGCGAGATGGACCGAGCGTTCGCTCGTCTTTCGCGGACGATATAAATGCGGCCCGCGTCGGCGTTTAATTCTGTTTACGAGGTGGCGTCTCGTGCTCGGGACACGTGTAAATGCATTTCCACGATAGAATGCAGTTATGGCGATGCGCTTGAAGTATCGCGATCGTATCGGCGATCAGCTCGCCGCACCTCGGGACACAATGTTTCGCCGGAGGCGTGTCTCGCGTCTCATTGCATGCAAATATCTCAGGTCTGTTAATCGCGCGGATAGACACATAGTAGAATAAACCGAGCCAGCACTGCCAATGATGAGCTGAAGCTAAGATGGAGGAGAAGAAAGGACGGAGATGTGTTTACGGAGCTTTCTCCGCCGCAAAGTGCCGTAGGAGGGTACGATGTCAGGGAAACAAAGCAGCGAGAGAGGACAGTGAAGGAAAGAGAAGGATATTGCGTAATTGATTGTGTGAGATGGCGTATAAATAGTACACCAGCGTGCAGTTATTAGTTCATAATATTTGTAACATTTGGTCGCTTCTCTTCTTACCTTCTCCCCGTCAACTACACAATTAGACGAGGAAAGCACTGCTGTCTCTATCGCCCTCTGTTACCGGTCCCGGATTCAGCCCTCCAATGGGAATGTCCAGTCTATTCTATGTGTCTATGATAATGTGTCTGTAAAACAGGTCCTCGACTGGTAATCTTGCGTAAGATACGCAAGTCTCCGCGACGGAACGGAAAATGTCAAGCGCGGCCGCGAAGCGCACGATATCCGTGCACGGCAGTGCGAAGCGAGAAAAACGTTCGGCGAAACGCGAAGATGGGATTCTGTGACTTCCCGTCGGTTGCTCACGCCTCGAGGTAACGTCCCTCGAATATTGCCAATCGTTTTACCAGGCAATCTTCGCAAGTGAATGATCTGTGTGAAGTCAATCACACTCATGAGCCTTCCTACTCTCCGCCTTTGTTTTCCCGTCGCTTCGAATCTCGCGCAATTCTCGCCCGATCGATTCGACGCATCACACGGGGTTACGCGATCGCGACGAATACATTCGACAATGTGTTGACATCCCACTTTCTCGCTTTTCTAATAAGATATTGCGCGATCGACCCATCCCGAAGTGCGGCTAGGCGCCATAGTCGTATCAGCGTTATTATTATTGCGAATCTCAGCGTTATCTAGTGCAGCGATCGTTTTACGTCATTGTCGATACGATGTTCGAAAGACTCCCTTACTTTCACATCTCTTCTCATAGACGACTCGGCAAACATCGACTAACAGTGACATAACATCAATGTTATAATTTCCCACTCAAAGATGCGAACGCAATGTAACGCGCGTATTATGTAACAGTTACATTACTGTGTGCGAAATTGTAACATTGATGTTATATTATTGTTATTGTTAGTGTTTTGCCGGGAACGTTCCGACTTTTCATCACTCATCGTCTCCCTAATTTTGCTGTAAGCTCAATCATATATGAAATATGCGCTAATACTGGAAACACGTTTGTGTAGCGCGTAAAACAAGATTGTGGGCGGCATCGCGCGTGCGAATGAAACATTCAACATCCGTCTTTCCTTTCTTATTTCCCTTCGTCTTATCGTCTCATCGTCTCATCGTCTCGCACCTCTCGTCCTTCCTCTCTCTTTCCCCTCGTTCTCTCATTTCCCTCTGAATACCCCGATGCCTTAATTCTTATCTCCCCTGCGATATTCTTTTCTATTCCTCCTTCCTTGAACGTCTCCGTCTCCCCTACCCGTTATATCATTTTTCTTTCCCACTTATTTCCGCTTTCCAGTTCCCGTTTCTTTTTCATCTATTTCACGGGACTCTGTCAGCTACGCCATTGGGCGCAATACAATAGAAGTTTGCCCTTGTCTGACGCAATACGCGCGCTGTGCGCCCGTGATGCGCGCGTCCGCGCACATTTGACCCGAGTTAATGGAATTCTAAGCATTCGATTAATATGCTTCCGGTAGTTAAACGGCGCCTACCGCTCGACAAAAAAAATACGTCCATCGCCGATCCTGACAGCGATCCTAATAAAAATTATGATCCCGATTCTGTTTATAAGTCAGCCTCTGTAAATTCTCCGCTCCGTCGCGGATTTCCATCGATTTCACCGGGCTCGTCCGTCAGTTTTTTACTTGGCCCTCGTCCGCCGTGAAATTTGCCGGAGGCAGAATGATTTGAACTCACGCGAAACGCGATATCACGCAACATTATTCCCGCGTGACCTGTATGCGATATTTTCAACAGGTGTTTTCACTTTCGATCGCGCGTCTAACAGTGACGTAAATCCGTGGTAGCGACGGTATCGACCGAGGCAGGGGTTCCCATCGCGATTAATACGACGTTTTCCGACTGCAAGCCCACGCATGCTCGAGTAACGGAGCGGAGTGTCAATTCAATCCCGGTGATTGATCGAGTTTACGTCCTTCCGAGAGCTCTCGAGCTTTAACGTAATTTATTTTTGCTCACGTGACGAACATTCAGAAGTTGCGCAC